CCTTGGCTCCTCTCGCTCTGCCTCTGCCATGGAAGTTTGCCCTCTGCCATGTGCCGCTCTGCCTTGGAGCCAGCTGAGTATGGACTGAAACCTCCAGTAACTGTGAACTAAGTAACCCTTTCCTTCCTTCATTTTGAGCGTCAGGTATCTGTCCCAGCAACAAGAGAAGAGTAACTGAGACATTGGGAATACATTAAAGTTGAATTTGCATAGTCCTCTTGACTAGAGGTAACAACTTGAGCATTTACATTTAGCTTCTAATGCCTAAAAGAAATAATTCTGTATCCCTGCACTGAGGCCAGGCCCTGTGGGAACCGCACCTGGCTAGTGCATCTTTGCATTCTAAGTACCATCATCATGCCTTGCATGTTGTCAGTGCACAACAAATGATGTTTATTGAATAATGGAGCATGAAATATAGTAAATGGCCTCCATAACTAGAGTCATATATGTGTTTCTCCTTAGTGTCTCAAACCACCAAACGTGACTGGGCAATTTAGGAAAAGTAAAAGCATGAGTATGCCTCTTACCGTGACTGCTATTGGAAATGAAAACCCAGGCCAGGGAGTTGGCTCAGTAGAATAAGCGCTTGCCTGGCAAATGCAAGGTTCTGAGTTCAATCCCCGGTACTGCAAAAAAAAGAAAGAAATGAAAACCCATATTACTTCCAAATAAGAGAGCACTTCTGATCTCTTTCATTTCCAGTTTTTGTTGTTGTTGCTGGTGGTGCTATGTGTGTTAGTAGGAGTTAAACCCAAGTGTTCTCCACCATTGAAATGCATTCTCAACTCTGTTTGTTTGTTTATTTATTTATTTTTATTTTGAGACAGAATCTACTTAAGTTGCCCAGGATGGCCTCAAACTTGCAATCTTCCTGCCTCAACTTCCTGAGTATCTGTAATTGCATGCATACATCACCATATCCAGCTCATTTCTTTCCTTGAAAATAGAAACACCTCCCTATGAAGCACTCTGCTTTCTGAAAATAAAATCAGAGCAACCTGGACAAATTAGATCTGATTCAGATTAAAGCCTGAATTTTCAGTTCTAAGAGATTTTCAAGTTGATATTTTAAAACAGGACTCTGTGCATGTTTATCTGTGGACCCAGTAGCCTCAGAAAGCTACAAGCCACTGTGCCCACTAGTGTTTGTTGCATAACTCACCATCCCAAAATAAGGGACTTAAACAAAAGTCCATTGCTGTATGCCCTGTTCTTCTGATGAACCATCTGGCGTCAGCTTGTTCACCCACACTGGTTACAGGGAGCTCAGAGAATGACAGAAATACCAGACTCTTGATAAGTGCGAAGTGTCTGTGAAGCCCAAGTAGGTACTCACATGGTGTGGCTTCCCCTCCACTCTTGGCCAGAGCAGGTGGAGGGTAGAGTCATGGGGTGGGGGGGTATTCTGGGATGGGGCTGTTTGTGCAGCCTACAGTGGCAGCAAAGTATGGCAGGAAGGGTGGTGGGACATGCATTATATTCTCAGAGTTTTCCCTAGAGTTAGGAACCAGTATTTTAAAGGATTTCACTATTGAACAGTAAGGACAGAAATAATCACCATACTGCTTGGCGTGTAGCCATGGGACTCTTGATCCTTCTTGCTGAAGTTTACACCCTGTGTTGAACCATGAGGATAGATCTTGGTGCTGTTCCCAACCTGGAAAGTAATAACTCCCATGAGGTACATGACTCCACGTTTCTTTAGGATGAAGCACCGAAGAATTTAGTGGTTAAAGCAGCACCCTTTCCTGCCCTCTGTTTCCGCAGAGCAGCAGTGAGCACTGGCCCTGCCCTGCTCTTTCATGCATATGCTGTCAGCTACTGGTTGGTGAGGTGTCAGAATACCGCAGTGTGGACAGGAAGCTGGGCTGCTTCTCTGCCTAGCAGACTGGTCAGGGATTATCCTCAAGACTGCAGGAGTGCTCATGGAGAAGACTGAGGTGACAAATTCTCCATGGGGTCAGAGTGGGTCACAGAGCCCACCCCTGCTTCCCTGAGTGGGGCACAGACTCCAGGGAGTGGTGGGCTCTAGACATTTTGTAGTCTTTTGTGTCCGCCGTCTTTAAGAAACCCGTAATCATACTTCAATTTGAGGTGAAATGCTGTCTCCACTCGCAGCCTACCAGTGTGCAGCAGTAGTCCTCTGAACAGTAGGAGGAAACCACACTTGCATTTAAAACCACCTGGTTGGCCGGGGAGATGGCTCAGTGGAATAAGCACTTGCCTGGCAAGCACAAGGGCCTGAGTTCAATCCCTGGTTCCACCAAAAAAGCAAAACAAAAAACCCCCACCTGGTTTCCTTTCAGCATCCATTGATGGATTCTGCTTTACTCCCAATCTTTGTGCTCATGTTCATACTTAAAAAATGTAAATTCTGCTGATATTCTTTCCTGAAGACAGTGGTCAACATACATTCCTCTCCTAGCCCCTCTTGTTCTCTGTTCTGATCCAGCCGACGCTCAAGATGCTTTTTATTTTATTTTATTTTTTTGTGGAACTGGGGATTGAACAGTAGAATAAACCAGGCAAGCACTTATTCTACTGAGTTATATCCCTTTTCTGAACGGTGCTCTGATTCACTGTGTCGAGGAGGAGTCTTTAGGGGCTTCTCGGTTGCACCCTTCACTGTGGCATTGTGTGGTCTGGCCTCTGCTATCTTTCAAGCTGTTCCTTGGGCACATTTATCCAAGGTCAGCACTAGGGTTCTTTGTCCTGGTATGTGTGTGTGCGCGCGCGCAAATACTGCTGGCACCTAATGTCTTATGGCTGGCAGCCTCACTACAGAGTATTATTTTTCTGGGCCTTGGTAGTGTCCAGGCTTAGAAAGCTTCTGATCATTTCTGCTCCTGGCGCCTCTTTCTAGAAGGCTTTTCCTTTCAGGCTTCACATTGAAAATGCCTATCAGGGGCCTGGCCCTAGCTCAGTTCTTTAAGTGGCTGCTTCCACAGAGCTGTCAGCCTCAGGTGGTTGTAGTTCGATCCCCACAACCCTGCAGCCAGCCAAAAGTGCCCTGAAGGCATTTGAGGAGGAGAAAAAAAAAATGCCTATCACTCGTTGCCAAGTGTTCCTGGAAACAAGTCCTGGATGACCCAGCTCTGCGCATCACCTACCGCTGCCCAGGTCCGGGGATGTGCATCTAGCACCATTCCTTGTCCTTGCTCTTGCTGCGCCTACCTTCTGTGTTGGTTGAGTATTAGTGTATTAACTCTTTCACTGAACCAGGGCCCCCGTGTGGCCCGATCCTCTCTTCTCCTTGTTCTCCAGCACCTACTACGTGCTTCACACACAGCAGGTGTGTAAGAAATAAAGGCTAGGTGATGAGAAACGTGTATCTTTCCGTGTCCTTAGATAGAATTAAGCCTATCAACACTTTCCTTAATGAGTTCAGTTTTGAAAACAGTCCAATAAGTGAAATCCAAGATTTTGTTTTTGATAATTCAGGCCAATACGTATAAGAATTTATTATACAATGCAACTAATTACTTGTGCTTATTTCTGCAGTTGTTTAGTGAAAAAATTAGTGGTGCCGAAGGAACGAAGCTCGATGATGAATTTCTGGACATGGAAAGGGTAAGAGAACATTTTAATATGTAAACTGAATTAGAAATTGTCTTTGTAAAGATTTTTTTTGGTTAGTAACTGTTTGCAATACTTGACAATGACATGTTGACCTACCAGTCAGCCTTCGAAGTTGGCCTGTGGCGATGCTGAAAAGGGCATCAGAGTGGAAAGCAGTGATGCTGACAGATGGGCGTGGGTTGTGTGACCCAGAAGGCAATCTTTGCTGAGCTCAAGTCCAGTCGGACCCTCCCTTGAACTCCTCCAGGGCAGGGGCCTGAGGAAGGAAGTGGGATGTGGCTGACGGGTTCCCTCTAGTGGCCAGAATTCACAATGCACAAAAGATGGGCCTCTTGTTACTGGTAGGCCACAGTGACCGCGGTTAGCTGTGGTGGAGAGTCGAAGTGTGTTTCTGGGAGAGTAACTTTCAGATCTGTAACAGCTGATTGACTGTGTGAATGGTGCAGTCTCTGGTCCCGCATAGCGAGTAGCTTTGTCCTGGTTTTGCAGTCAGAGAAGCAGCGCAAGCTTGTGTCTGTCCTTTCCCAGCTAGAGAGCAGAGGGGTGAGGAGTTTCCTGTTTGCATCCCGTGGCAGTTCTGAGAACCATGGAGAGTATTAATGTATTTGAAACAACTAGGATGATGTGACCAGCTTGGCACAGGAGCAAGTCTAACACGCTCCAGGGCAAGCCTGTAGCATCCCTGTCTCTCCCAGGGTAAGAGTAATTACCAGCCCACTCAGCTTCCAGCCCCTTTGCCTTCATTCTCTTATCTTTTCAATTTTTCAATTTTTATTTATGTGTTTTTTTGTTGTACAGGAGATTGAAAACAGGGCCCTCACACTGAGCTATAATCCCAGCCTTTGTTAGTTTTTATTTTGAGAAAGGATCTCACTATGTCACAATATTGTCCCCACTGGATTCAACTTGCTATCCTCCTGTCTCAGCCTCTTGGAGTGCTGGGATCACAGGCACCTGGCTTTGTTTTAGACTTTTGAAAGGAGGCCCACTTCTAATGATGAAACTTCCCAGATGAGAGAAGGAAGTGCAGTAAGGCTAGGATGGGGCAGGTTGGGCTGGATTGAAGTCCAGCCCCAGGCAGTGTCTTGAAGCTCATTGTCTTCAGTGCCCGAGGAGTGCTCAGCTTTCCAGATGAGGAGTTTAAGGAATGTGAGTGCCTTGAATTCTGGGAAGATGATAGAATAGTGAGTAGCAGAGAAGGCACTTTTCCAGGATTTGGTGTCCGGATGCTGGCATATAGCAACACAGGGAAGAGAAAGAGGAGGGAAGTGGGTCGCTGGGGCCCAGGAAAGATCTGATGTGAGAGTTGAAGCCTGTGGGAAGAGCAAGGAGAGAATTTTGATGAAGAAGAAGGAGGTGGCCAACAGCACTCTTTCTCTGAGCTTGGACTTACTGTGTTGGAGGGGAAGTTTGAACTGGGAGAGAGACTGTGAATGCTGGTGACCCCAGAAGCCTCCATGGAGAAACGCCTCAGTGGAGCAGAGCGGTGGATGCAGCAGATTGCAGGGGCCGGCGAGTGATTCAGGTTCAGATGTCCCCCAAGAAAGGGGGCTTGGCCAGTGGACTTCTTAGAGTGGGGGCAACTGAATTCAGAACCCAGAACCGCTTCAGACTGGCTTCACCTAGTGGCTCCCAGTGTCAGGGTGAGGCTGCAGAGTTCAAGCCGCACGAGGTCAGGGAGCCGAGTTCAAATGAGCAGGAGGCACATGAGTGTTACAGGCTGAACAGATTGCGTACCAGCCACCACAGTGCCAGAAAACAGCTTAAACTTCATCGGAACCAAAGGTGCAGGTTGTTGGGGTTATCCACCGCCTTGCCATAAAGCTACTGCTGGCTTGCTGAGATTAATTAACATAGATCTGCCATCAGTCTGCCCACATTGTCTACCAGGGACAGCAGAGACATGTCTTAAAGTGGACATTTGTTTTTTTCTTCTTTTTTTCTTTCTTTTCTTTTTATTTTATTTTGTTTTTTGATTTTTTGTTCTTTTTATGATTGTAAACATGCTTTCTATTATGTTGTTTTTGTTGTTCAGTTCTATTCTTATTTTTATTTCTTCCTTCTATCTTTCCCTCCTGTCTTCACTAGTTTTCCAAACTTGCATAATCTTTCTTTGTCCTCCAGTCTTGCTTCTAATCTCTTCCCTTTCTTGTTTCTCTAATTTTTCCACTAACCTGTCTTAAGTTTTCTTCCTTAAGTGTAAACTCATCTTGTTTGTTTTAGATTTTGTTTTATAACTACAAAAGATCTGTCTAGTTCATACAGTTAAAAGTGGGGAATTGATAGGTACCACAGTTTATCATTTTCTGTGCATGTTTGATGCTACTATTATTGCTGATTGCAGTGTTTTAGCCAAGGTGACATAATTGTGCTTATCAGTTGTTATTTCTGCCTTACCAAGACTAAAGTTGTCTAGGAGTCAAAAGTACTATGGGCTAGTGCCAAAGAACCAGGGCCTGGGCCAAGTAGGCAGCAACTTCTCATCCCCCATAAATTGAAGGAGCAGGATCCTGCAACAGTCCGAAAACTCAAAAACATCTGGAAGACATCTCTGAGAGCTAATCATTTCCTAAAGGTTCTAAATACCAGCAATAAATCTATTCACAGTAAGAAACTTACAAACATCAACCCAGGAATTAAACAAAAAAAGAAAATGAGAAGACACTTAACCAAGATGCAACCCCAGAATTCTAGCTCACCAAAGTTCAACAGGGGAAAATGAAGTAGAATGATTCTAAAGCCACCCACCTGGACTCTGTGGAATGGAAACAGCAGCAGTAACAAAGCAATGAGGCTCTAGAAGAAAATTAACTAGGAATATTTTCTCAGATAACTACTGAGATCATGACTATAGCAAAAAACATGTTTAATGACTCTAGAACAGATACAGATTTTTTTAAAAAGAAGAGCTTAGGGAAATAATGGAAAAAATATGAATGCCCAACATAAGAAAGAAACAGAATCCTTGAAATAGGTTTAAACAGATATCCGGGACATTAAAAGTCTCATTGAAGGGGCTGGGGAGATAGCCCAGTGGAATAAGCACTTGCCTGGCAAGTGAAAGGACCTGAGTTCAATCCCTGGTTCCACCAAAAAAAAAAAAAAAGTCTTCATTGAAAGTATACACAGCAGAATGCACTGATATGAGAACAGAATCTCAGATAAAGAAGATGGGATCGCGGTTAGTAACCATGAAAAGAAAGATTTCTTAAATATATGAAGGAACTATGAAAAATAAATCTATCTTCTACTAGATAATACAAGTAAAAATAATATAAGATTGATTGAAGTTGATGAAAAAGCAAGATTTAATGCAAAGTTATAAAAAACTTGTTCACGGAAGTAATGGCAGCAGACTTCCTAAGCATGGAAAAAGAATTTGACATGTAGAGAAACAAGGCATATAGAACTACAAATAACCATGATAAAAAACAACAACACCCATACATCTACAGCAAGGCATATGTTAGTTAAGATTTCAAAAATTCAACACAAGAACAGAACATTAAAAGCTGTTAGGAAACAGAAATGATCTACAAAAGAAAGCCCATCAGAATCACAGCAGTATTCTTAATACACTCAAGTTAAGGTGAGCTTGGAGCGAAGTAGTTCAAACCCTACTAGAAAACAACTTCCAACCCAGATTGGTGCACCCAACAAAACTATCTTTTTTTTTTTTTTTGGAAGTATTGGTCATTTATTTATACTTGAAGAATCCCATTGTTTCCACTTTTGCCTTTCTCTTCTACTTTTACCACATTCTTCTACTTTTATTTTTTTTTATTTTTTATTTTTTTATTTTCAAAATTTTATTGATAAACATAAAGCAATGAGATAGTTTCAAATCAAATCGAAAGTACTGTTTCAACAAATAATACACTGCATATATTCTTCTTAGTGGTTAATTGCTGTACAACATGCAGACTTGTGATCCTACTTACAAACACCATTAGAACAAATCATTCTATTCATTAAGAGAATGCAACTATATACCTATCCCAACCACTTTGAATACACAGATACAAAATGGACATTCATAGTTATATCCCAATTTTTTTAAGTTCCGTTGTTGAATATTATAGGTGTGTAAACTCAGCAAAATATTCTAAAAGAGTCCAGTAGCCCATAATAGCATTGGGTCTTCTGTTTAACTGGCAATGTCAGAAATTATTGACCTGAGTCCCCCACAGCTCACCATAACAACATGGCTTTACTTCCTATATTTCGTCTTCATACTTTTCTACTGGATGGTTAAGACCAAGGTAAAGCAGGACCTGTGCAACAAGAGTTGTAGCTTTTGGGTCTGAGAAGGTCAGTGAAATGCCCTCAGGATTTATCCTGAGATCCTGTACCTCAGATTGTAGAACCTTTGTCAGTGTCAGCCATGTGGATGAGTCATGGCCATTGCTTGGCCAATGTGTTCTCTGTGAAAGCCTGAGAGAGTGTCTTCTCCCCATGTGACTCTCCTTAGGCACCCTCTACGTCATCGATCACTTTCCTCTTTGGCCCCATAATCTTCTTGATCAGAAAATTTGGGACACTACTGGGGTACATGACGTTACAGTACAAGTTCTCATATGTCCTGAGTCTTAATTGACCTTAGAAGGCTAGGGCCAAAATGTTGGCTTTCCTTGTAGCCCTCCTTTTTCTCTAATTTTGGTCTGCAAACTTAGGTTGTTAACCATCCAGAAGACAAGCCTATTGTTTTTATCAAATGATTTAGGCTATGAAGCTTAACCTCACTATCTCACTGCATTTCAAACATATTAGGCATAATAAGGAACAGGTATTTTTCATCAAGTTTTGATATGTTGAACTTTAAGTCCCTACATAATATGATAAAAAACATTTAAAAACTATCTTTCAGAATTGGTGGAGAAATAAGATACTTCCATGACAAAGAATACATGAGAAAATTCATGAATACCAAATCACCACTTCAAAATGTTCTGAAGGTCATTCAGCAAGAGATAATGAAGACTAAAACCCCA